GTATGACATGTCTTCGTCGCTAGAGGGCACGACTGATAGGTAAGACCTATTATAATATATACAAAACGATAGATAATAAATTGTTGTTACACACATAAATTTACGGTAACTGCATTACCCTTTCTCATAATCAGGGTGGCAATGAATTGTGCATAGGTGTATGGTTTCTGCTTATAGGCCCATGTAAGGGTTTATAATGCACCTGAACAATGAAGAATGAAGTTTTTTTCCAGTGTATATATCTTAAACAACGCCCATAAAGTTCTGTTCAAATCGTTATTATGTCACCACAAAAACGAAAATTGGATGCATATGGCAATGAAATTTATCACTGAATGGAACAGTTGATTCTGCAGTCATTTGCACGCAGAGTAGAAAATTAATTTGATAAATCTGATAAAACACAATTCAATACATACAATTATCGGAGAGCGTCAACATTTTAAACTTTCGAATTTCAAATATATTTGTTAATGGTTATTTGATTGAGTTGTAGTCTAGACTGTAATAGACATTTTTATACTACCAGAGTGTCCTTTAGTATTAAAATAGAGAAGATTTAAAAATAGCCGGGAAAATATTGGAATATAGTGATTGATTTACTGGTAGGTTGCGCGTCCGTAAGGATCAGTTAATACATACTATTGGGCAGCATACGGATGGGCCAGCATTGCTATATGTATTGTTCAACTGGATTCAACCGTATTTCTACTTTCAATTTACACAATGATCAGTGAAAGAGGGGACTGAAGCTGTGGAATGAACTATGGAGAGTCAGTTAAAAAGAGGTGATATGCGTCAGAGTGTTGATGAGCCCCGTACCAGTGAGGATTCGCCTCTACTATGGTGGAGAAGATGTTTAGGTACTGCTGTTGGAGCTGTTTTGGGATTACTGAGCGGTATTTTCATGGGTGTTGGGGCATTTCTTATCATATTGGTAGAGAGAGAGGGAATGCCAGTGTTCCAGGTGGTGTTTTTAACAAATGTTGGAGCATTTATAGCTGCTATCCCTTTTATAATTTATGCAAAGCTAAACATTTTTGGTGACAATCACAAAGACCGAGCTGTTTTAATCCTCATTGGACTATTGTGGTTTGGAGGGCTTGCATCAATGTTTTATTCCTTAAAGATGGGACAATTTGCAACCATCTTAGGAATCCTTCATGGCGGGCTACCTATTGCAACACCGATACTAGCATATATTATCATCCGGGAGGCCATATATGCTACAGATGGGGTAGTCATTGTTATCAATGTAGCTGCTATTGCGCTGTTGGCACAACAGACCACTGGCAATTCCTTGGAGAATACTACTACACAGGCAACATTAGGATATGCACTAGCTGGTTTTGCGTCAGTTCAATTATCATTACTCACTGTCTTGGTGCGATATTTAAAACATGTGAATTTTACAACCGTGTTTTTCTATAATAGTGCTGTAGCGGGAACCGTTTCGTTAATACTGACGTCAGTTGTTGATAAAGCAGTATGGTCGATGAATATACTCATGGCCTCAGAAACTGTAGGGTACGTCATCTTCTGTGCATTGGGTGTAGCCAGTCGTATAAAAGCATTGAAATTTGAAGAAGCTA